TACACTTATTTGAAGAATTACTCTTTGGTTGCTTATCAAACGTACAAAGTTATGGATAAGCAAAATGCCTCATATGTCTTTATCAGTTTATTCGGATTGTCATCCAATTTTCTATCTAATTAACCGTACAAAAAGAAACTTAACTAAGTGTAAATGCTTTCATATGATCATCTATACTTATATTAAAAGCTATACTATTTACTAAATGTAGTATGTAGAATAGTCAACCCTAATTAATGATTTGTTATTTTTATCAAGCATTTAATTAATGCATCTAATATTTTTGGTATGCAAATCAAATTAGCATTTAATTAGTTCCTAAAATATTGGGTAAACAATATTAATTTAGGAATATCCATATAGTTCTTAAAATGTTAGTATGCAATACGTAAAAGAAGATTTTTTAATTTTTTAAATATAAAATATTACAACACGTAAAACTATTCCAATTATTTTTTATTTTATTTTACATATAAAATCTAATCAATATTTAATGAATCCTACAAAATTGGATGGAAATAAAAAAGTACGTAAAATCTTTACTAAAATAAAAAATAAAAAAAAATAAAAAAAAATAAAAAAAACTTAATTTATTATCTAATTTATTATCTAATAATATGGAAATCTGTTCTGATTTTATGGTACGTACTACAAATTGTGCACCCGTGTTCAAGAGCTACTTAACGGGGAAGCTCTGTGGAAATAACTCATTTAGTGCATTTGTCTCGTGCATACAGTATGTATTTGTATTACACATATTAGAAAATTGTGCACCCCGTGCATCGCACGGACTCTGTACTAATAAATGACCTTAAAATTGTGCACCGCGTGCATCTCTCGTGTTCACATTTTAGCCTATTACATGTCACGTACTATATATATCCCGTATATTTTTCTTTATTCATTTATATAATTATAAGATTTGATAAATAACTTTTATGCACCCCGTATATCGCACGGGATCTGTACTAGTAATCCTAATGGGCTACAACCAAATTAAAGGCGGCAAAGAGAAAAAGATAGGCACAATAATTGTTATTCTGGTTCTATTTCATTTTCAAGGGTATGATTGTAAAAGACCATCTATCTGTACGTGGCCCAATAAGAATTACATCAGCATGTATGTATACATAACGAAAGTCTCCAAAATTTATGACATCCAAATATTTTTCACTTTAATGTGGTGGTGGATGGACATATAAAATGCATTTTTCATTTTCTTTTTATTTACAGACAAAATTGCAAAATACTTCACAACTTTTACTTTAATTTCAATTTTTGGTTATTATTTTCATCATTTAAAGTATATTTTTCTATTTTCTTTTTCAATCAGTTTTGGCTTTGTGGGTTATAACTTACTAGTACTAATACTCATATTATATACAACATGGTGTTGAGTTAATGAATATATATATAAAGTTATTTATGTTTAATACTAAACCTAACTCCAGAACAAAAATAATATAAAAAAAAACATCACGAATCATACCATCTCAGCATCCGAAGTGAGAGAATCTGTCACCTAAAC